CACAGTCTTTGGAACCTTGACGGTGGATAAGCTAGTAATAAAGGCATGATATGAAGGTGATAACGATGATAACTTAAATAGGTATAAGAGGGAGTTTGATTGGCAGTAGTTCTAGTACCTTTTCGTAGAGCAATGGGGAGAGCAATAACATTTGATGAGTGCTCAACCGAAGCATGAGACATTGCTGGAGAAGGCAATGAGTCACCCGATGGGCTTTGTGTAGCTGCATTAGGATCAGAAGCATCAACTGGATTAGTAGGTTGAGAATTAGGTCGAGGGTGTCTAGAATAGACTTGGAGTGGTGGAGCTGGAGCTGGAGGCGAAAAGGTTGGAACCGGAAGAACTGTGGATATGGCCTTCTGATTTAATGAATTAGGAGAAAAATATGGGGAAGTCTCAAAAAAGGTAACATCTGCTGAGATTAAGTACCTATTTTTAGATGGATCAAAGCATTTGTATCCTTTTTGTAGACGAGAGTACCCTAAAAAGACACATTTGATAGCCTTCTGCTTAAGTTTGTCTTTTCCCGGGGTAAGGTCATGAACAAAACAAGTACAGCCAAACACACGTGGAGGAAGTGGGAACATAGGTTGTTCGGGATAAAGGATTGAGTGTGGACTTTTGTACTGCAAAACAGAGGAGGGCGTACGATTAATTAAATAACACGCAGTAATAACTGCATCACCCCAAAAACGTAAAGGAATATGATTGTGAATAAGTAATGTCCGAGCTGTTTCAATGAGATGTTTGTTCTTTCGTTCTGCAACTCCATTTTGTTGTGGAGTATGTGCATAAGAAGACAAGTGTAATATACCTTGTGATGACATGAAGGAAGAAAAAGAAGAAGAGAAGTATTCTTGGGCATTATCACTGATTAATTTCTTTATGGAAACACCAAATTGATTGCGAATCTCAGTACAAAAGTTCCGAAAAATAGAGAACAATTCAGATCTGTTTTTCATTAAAAATAACCAAGTGCACCGAGAATAATCATCAATAAATGTAACAAAATAATGAAATCCTAGTGAAGAACTGAAACGACTTGGACCTCATATGTCCGAGTGAACAACTTCAAACATAGAGGATGACCTATTATTGACACGCTTTGGGAAAGAAGCACGAGTGTGTTTCCCAAGCTGACATGACTCACATTCTAACAAAGGTAAACTAGATAGACTGGGGACCATCTTCTGCAACTTTGAAAGACTTGGATGTCCCAATTGACAATGAAGCAAATCAGAGGAAATAGCGGAAGTGAAGGCAACTGGTGGGTTTGGAATAGATAGTTTATATAGACCGTGTGACTCATGTCCTCTTCCAATCACCTGTCCCGTACTCCGGTCCTGCACAAAAAACAGAATCCTCAGAGAAGATTACAAGACACTTGAGGTTCTTGGTTAATTTACTAATGGAAATAAGATTATACGGACAATCAGGAGCAAACAGAACTGAGGTTAAAGGTAAAGAAGGTAGAGGGTGGGTTGCACCTATTCCTTTGATAGCAGTCTTTGATCCATTAGCTAAGGTAATGGTAGAAAAGACAGATGGAGAATTAAGGACAAAAAGAAAATTTTGGTTACCGGATATATGATCAGTAGCACCAACGTCAAGAATCCATGGTCCAGGAAAGGAAGACTGTGCGACATAGGCAAAAGAGTTACCAGGTTGCACTGTGCAAGCTGTAGATGAGGTAGATGACTGTTGCTTTGATGCCTGGTACTGAAGATAATCATTATAATCTGCTCCAGTCAAAGTGATAGAGTCAGATGATCTATCCTTGACATCTGGTGTAGGTAGAATACCATCTCCGCTGTGAGCCACATTGATTGCATGTCGAGGACGATCATTGTTACATGGAGGCTTACCATGAAGCAACCAACAAACATCACGTGTATGTCCTCCCTTATCACAGTATGTGCAATGTTTAGTGCTTTTCCCTTTTCCTTTTCTGGGTCCATTTTGAAAAGTGTTAGTTTGTACAACCATTATAGAAGTATCATATGAGTTTACCTCTGGTGTAGATGTGATGCGCAACAATCTGGCAGATACTTTCTCCAAGGTAGGAACGGATGCGCTAGCAAGAATCTGGTCTCGAACTGAGGAGAGATCAGATCTTAATCCAATCAAGGCTAGAACCATAAAAAATCTGTCTCTCTGTCTCTCCTGAACATCCAACTTGTCAGTAAAAGGCATAAGAGAATCAAATTGATCCTTTAAAGATTCTACTTGTCCAAGATAGCTTGCCATGTCTTGTTGATTATGATGCAGGTGGACAATGTCTGAGACTACCTTGTAAATAAGTTGTATGTCATTTGTATACAAGGTTTTGACCTTGTTCCAAACCCTGCAACATGTCTTACATGACTGAAAAAGATTAAATAACTTACTGTCAAGAGAGTTCCATAGAAGACTGCATAATTGAGCATCTATTTTAACCCAAGTTGGTCTATCAGATGCTCCAATCTATAATTCTTGATCAGTGATCTTCATATCCTTACCCTATAAACCACAGTTGTACAGAAGCTGCCCAAGAGGTCTAATTTCCACTTCCATCCAACTTAACAGTAGTAATTGTTGGAGATGGTGAAGAGGAAAAAATCGACTTTCCAGTAATTTGATTTTCAACTGCTTTATCATCTCCCATTGTTGTATTTATCACACAGGAACTGCTGAAAGTGAATGAGAGTAACTACAAAAACAAGAGAAACAGGAAGAAATAGAGAAAACTGAAGAGTCAGACCAAGGAGGATCTGGTTTTTCTATAGTCTTTTAATTCAAGGAAGAAAAATGAGATGGAGCAGGGACTAAAAAACCCTAGCTCTGATACCATGTGAAAGAAGAAGAGAAGAAAAATGGTGAATAGAGTGCTTGATTATTCCCTCAAGCTGTTGGGTTTAAATAACCTTTGACAGAAATACAAATAAGGAAAGACTACAATTACAAGCCTACAAAATCTCCTAATTACTTAATTATAGGGATTTGTGTGATTACAGGGATTTGTGTATCTTTTCATATTTACATAGTATCAATTCTTGCCATATTTAACAGGACTTAACACTTTTAAGAAACAGTGGAATCGATAAGGAGATCTGTTGTACAATTAGCTTGTTGGCATGTTAACATTTTAAGGCTCTGTCTGAAAAGCCTTGACTAACTCTGGTTCATATATGTGTGTGACGATGAAGCAGTCAACCTTGTAACTGGACTGAGTGGCTCATCAAAGCCTATATCCCTATTGCTGGTTGTAGCCTTTGCTTACCACACGAGCATTATGGCAAACACAAGTAATGTCACACTCGTACTGTCTTTTAGCTTTTTCAAACCATGCATGACCTTCTAAAGATAAATTATCAATCCCCTATTTTAAGGACATCTGAGTTAACTCCACGTTTTCCCACCTTTTTTTCTTTTTGATAAGGCATATTATGTCCATTTCCCCCTTATCCCACTTCTTGCCACTCCATAATTTCTGACTAAAATTTTCATCTTCAATTTGGTTTGACCTTTAAGCATATATTCTTTGTCTAATTTGACGCCCAACAAATGGTATTTTGTTATTTTTTCAAACCATATGTGACCTTCTAAAGATAAATTATCAATCCCCTATTTTAAGGACATATGAGTTAATTCCACGTTTTCCCACCTTTTTTTCTTTTTGATAAGGCATATTATGTCCATTTTCCCCTTATCCCACTTCTTGCCACTCCATAATTTCTGACTAAAGTTTTCATCTTCAATTTGGTTTGACCTTTAAGCATATATTCTTTGCCTAATTTGACGCCCAACAAATGGTATTTTGTTATAATTTTGTTCTATATATTGATTGTTTATGTTAAATTACAAACATACGATACATTAAGCAAAATTTTCTCTTATTTCATGTACATAACTGTACTTTGCCTTAATTTCGTTCTCGTTCTTATTATTGGTTGCATGTGTGTAAATTATTTTGACATGTCAATTTCATGACGTACTAAAAACCAAGGTTACTGTCTGAAATGAATCTAGTCTCTAATCCAATTTTGGGATTTCGTATGAATCAAACATGGGAGTGTGGAGATGTAATCCTGCTCTTAGTATTACTAGTCCTGAGAGGCATAATCCCACTCTTGGTCCCTTTAGTAGTCCTGGGAGATTATAGTCTCACGTAATCTCTTCGTAGAAAGCACCCTTTAACTATTCATGCCAGGGTATCTATAGGTTAATATCTTTCTCCTTATTTAGATTTATATTGCTTCTTCATGTTAGTTTAGAAAGGACACAATGATAGATTTTCAGCTTGTTGGTGAATGATATTTGTCTGGCAGGGTATACTGCATTCTGCTTTACATAATCAATATTGGAGGTTAATTGATCCTCAAGGCAAACCAACAGGAGTGATGGGATGGTGGCCCTCACGTGCTGTCACATTTTTGGAGAATCATGATACTGGATCCACACAGGTCTTTCTCTTTCTTGCTAACAGACACATACATACACACACAGATTTACATGTCTACTTGTGTTCTCACTCATTCAGTGAGACAGATGGCCAACGTAAATGCATTGCATGGAGGTAAACTACGTTTCATTCACCGTCATTTAAATTAGTTCAGAGCTTTTGGCTCGAATTATCCTTTACGTTCAGCCAAAAGATTAAGTGGGTCCCTCTAATACGCCCTCCAAATTTCAAACACTTGACAAGTTCGGTCCCATATTAGATAGTCGTCACTTGCGGACAAAAAGATAGGCATGCAAGCAGAACATGACTGCACTCTGCTTCTTGCCCTTTGGCTCCTTCTTCCATTTTGGCTCGCAGAATAAGAAATAGAATGGGCATTTTCTGCAGCTTCTCCCCCCAGGCTCTCTCACTGTGAAATCAGACAAAACTCAGTTTTTCCAACAGCTAATCAATTTCCAGTAGCTGGTATCTTGAGGGATGTTGCAGAAAAGAGTTCAGGATAGCCATAAGTGGGATCTCCATCGAAGAGCAACCTAAGAACTCGTGGCAGAGATCGTGGAAGTCCCAAACCAGTCTTCTCATACAAGTGAGTTAATAGAGTTAACATAAGCTAATCTTTCACAATCCTCCAGAATTTGAGCACTTCTGTCTCTGGAGAAGACCAACTTCTTGCCATGAGATTTTCGGTTAAATGACCTTTGAAACCATGCTAGGTTCAGGACTGATCCAAGGAACTAAATACACAAGTGAAATTGTCCAAGTTTGAAACTTTAGATAATAGTTTCAAGCGGAACTAATACTAGTCCTTGTTCTTCATCCTTCATCAGCACCCTTCAATTGCTGCAATTAACTAAGCAGGTAGTATGTAAATAGAAAGAGCTGAAAGGTATTGACAGGAAGTCCTTGGAAACCGAAAGCTCTGAATTTGCTTTCAAAAAGTAAATCAAGCCTTACGAAGCCTGATTCTACCATGTCATCATGTATGGATCCACCTTCATGTGTCAACAACTCCGACCTGAACAATTCCCTCTTAAATTTAGCCTCAGAAAAAGACTTCCGAAACCTTGGGCTTTCCCTCTTCCCAGAGGCATATGCAATGGTTTTTACTGGGAAAAAGGAGTGATGAACAGGAGAGGTAGAATTTCTCCTGGAAAAAGGGAAAGGAGAACATTCACCTGAGGTGCACATGACAGTTCTGTTAAAGCTTGACAGAATGTTAACTTCTGGACAAAAGAACTACTCCCCCCATTTCAATTTGTTTGAACCTATTTGATTGGCCATGTAGTTTAAGAGAAAAGAGAATACTTTTGAAACTTGCGGTCTAAAAAAATCCATAGATATTTGTGTGGCTATAAATCATGTTATTAAAGGTAAAAGGGAAATTTTTAAGTTTAATTATTTTCAAATTTAGAAAGGGTTCATTCTTTTTGAAACTGACTAAAAAGGAAATAGGTTCATTCTTCTTGAAACGGAGGGAGTAAATTTTTGCAGATGGAGATGTTATTTTGTTAACTATAATTTTAGAGGGAACCACTCGATCTTTTGGCCAACTTGAGGAAAGTTTTCGGAAAAAAAATTGTAAGTTCAGTGTCACCTAAAATCTTGGGGTAATCCAAAAATATATTTTGTTAATATAGTTTTAGCTTTTCATTTTGGATTCCATTGGTAATGAGGATTCGGAATATCACACACTGATTAATCTAAGAGAGATTCGACAACAAAAGGAAAGATCGATTCTTTGGGATCCTTCCTATCTGATCCATAAGATCTCCATATGCAGCTTTTCATCTGCATTTGTCCTTAGAAGTTAAATAAACAGAGTGGTTCAGGCATGAGATTCAGCTTTCCTTTGAGAGATCTGGAATTTTGAACTTTAAGTTCACAAGTGAAAGTGTTTAGTCTACGGGATCACATACCAAAACAGTGCTTGGTGTGAGGATCTGTTGAGCATGGCTCTGAGATGGTACTCAGGCTAACCAAGACGTTTATTAAGGAATGTGCTAGCCAGCATTTATGCTGAGTTAGTTAGAGTCTTGTATCTTGGTCTCAATCATTTGATACTCGTCACAATATCATCCGAATTATTTATTCCTCCAAACACCCCACACCCCCCCCCCCCCCC